AGCAGCGATGGCCTCCAACCTAGAAGCGATGTCCTCCAACCTAGAAGTGATGGCCTCCAACCTAGAAGCGATGGCCACCTAACAGCGATGGCCTCCAACCTACCATTCAGACTTTGTTGAGTAACTATGTAATTCAAAGCAATCTGACTTAGGCGAGCATGCGGCGATGGTGGTTGAGGGCATGGTGTGCCTTGGACCAGTGGTGGTTGAGGGCAGGGTGTTGCAAGACCGTTCCCGGGAACGGCTTGAGACGCCAAACGGGTTTTTCTAGATGGTGGACCAGCTGCGCAGGTTCGGTTGTTCTATGGTGTTCTTTCCTAATCACTTATGGATAGCATGAAGTGAGCAAGTAAAGACAGAAAGCCGGTGTTGTAAACAGAGGCTTGGGCGCTCGCTCAAGTGAGTTCCGTTGTTTGTGTGTTTCAGGACCTGAGGGTGACCGATCTGAACGACCTCGGTCCAAACACCCCCACGACCAGGGACAACGACACATCCGCTCCACTCGAGGTCGCTGACTTTGAGCATGTCCTTCTTGGTGCTGTGCTTTTGGGCGGCCTACAAGGCACCCAGCTGGTCCTTGGAAAAACAAGCGGCAGCCAAGTTCCTCTTTGTCGACTTCCGGCCGGACCATTGGTGGCCACTAGACGCAGTACGGGGGAGACGGGGCGTCGGATACGGGGCGCAAGAGAAGCGCGGAACCCACACGTCGTCGCGGTGGTGTGTGTCCCGCCCAAAGCCAGTCTGAAATCTGGGAAGATCTTACAATCCCAATCATAACCTTACCCTAGAAGTCAAAAGAAAACCACCAAAGTACAGGATTCCTGCTCAGGTCATTCTATTCTAAAGACCATTTCTGAAATAGTCGATGGACTCCGGCTTAAGAAGCTTCAAGAAATGCGGCCCAAACTGTCGGATCCTGACATATCCTGACGGGTCCTGAGGTATGGTGGCCTCTTACTCTTTCGAGACCTCCTTCTCTCGCTCCCCTCCGTGATCGCGCCCAACTCGGCCCACGTGCAGCTGGTCTTGCTGCATGCCTTGATGCTCGGTCAAGTGCAAATGGATTGATGCCACACTATTCCATTGGGACCGTGACCGTCTCGGACATGTGGTGACGGGAGAGGTATCAAAAAAAACATAAATAGGGATCAATAAAAAAATAAATAGGGATCAATAACAAAACAAATAGGTATCAATAAAAAAATAAGTAGAGATCAAGACAACAACAAGCAGGGATAAAAAGAAGCAATAGAGAAGAGAGAAAGGAAAGAAAGAAAGAAAGAAAAAAAGAAAGAAAGAAAGAAAGAAAGAAAAGAAAGAAAGAAAGAAAGAAAGAAAGAAAGAAAGAAAGAAAGAAAGACAGAACAACAGAAAGAAAGAAAGAAAGACAGAAAGAAAGAACGACAGAAAGAAAGAAAGACAGAAAGAAAGAAAGACAGAAAGAAAGAAAGAGAGAAGGAAGGAGGGAAAGAAAGAAAGAAAGAAAGAAAGAAAGAAAGAAAGACAGACAGAAAGAAAGAAAGAAAGAAACACAGAAAGAAAGAGCGAAAGACACAAAGAACGAAATAAATTGAAGTAGACATTGAAGTAGAGCAGTGCTTACATGAACTGCTTGCAGGACGCATTATAGGCAATATTCAGGTGAGAGCTAGGAGCCATTCGAAGGTAGCAGACCTTTTTGTGAGCCACCTGGAGGAGGGAAGCGGCCATTCCAAGGTAAGCCTTCCGAGGGCAAAACTTGGAGGAGGAAGGCGTCAGTCCTTTTGTGAGCCGCCCAAGAACCAAATTTAGAGGAGGAAGGAGCCACGCCAAGGTAGCGCGCCTGTGGCTCACAAAGGAGGCAGGCGCCAGAGCGGGCAAGGGAGTTATTTTTTTGAGCGCGCGAGTGAGGTGTGTGCATTGGCGTCGTCATAATTCAGTAGGCGGCGCGTGCTGCCGAGATCGCTTACTCAAGTCAGCCAGTGAGTTGCAAGCCAACCCCGACAAAGACCGCTGAAAGTTAGAGAAACAAATATCAAGAACGCCCAGACACAACCAACTGCACACACCAACGATCTTTGCAATATGACCAGCAACACCAAACCCATTCCAGAGAAAGAGAAGACAGAAAACAGACAGAAGAAAAATCAGCGCGGACCTGTTAATTCATTGTGGTTTGTTTCTTTCATTTTTGACACTGTCTTGCCCGCTCTCATTCCTCCTGCAGTTAAGAGTTAAGACCGGCATGGCGTAACAGGGCCCGATTTCAGACCGGCATGCCGCTCGCGTGTGCGCGCAGAAAGCAACTCGCTTGTACGCGCGCGCGTTGGAAGAGTAGGAAGCCTTCACCATAATGGCTGCGCCGGCGCACACTCCCACTTGCATCAAGATCATGTGTCTGCCACGCACGCAGGAGCAGATTGCGCATCTTCAAGGCGTCAGGTCTTCCAGGGCTTCTGGTTTTCCCAGGGTTACACCGGACATTATATCGGGTCGAAGAGGCTTGAAGACGTATTTTGCGCCCCGAAAGCTTCCTACATCCTTTGTTATCATAGAGACTTATGATGACCGTGCGTGGAAAAAGATCAGAATTCCTGCTCAGGTCACTGAGCCATTCCCATGTAAATATACCTTTTGTGAGCTTCCCGAGAACGAGCGACAAATTCAGCGGAGGAAGCAGCAAGTCCAGTGTAGCATAGTATCTTCTGTGAGGAACCCGATGCTACTACTGCTCCCACAACACGGCTACGACTACCACGACTACTACTACTACTGCTGCTGCCGCTGCTACTACTACTGCTACTACCTACTACCTACTACCTACTACCTCCTACCTGTTACCTACTACCTACTACCTACTACCTAGTACCTACTACTTACTACTACTACTACTACTGCTACTACTACCACTACTACTACTACGACGACGACGACAACGACGACGACGGTCACTACTACTGTTGCCACTGCACACATTACTGTTCTTTCTTTGTTGATTCTTGTTTGTTTTGTTTTTGATCCTCGTCTGTCAATTGTTTTTGTTATTACGTCACCAGATTTTGTTTTTTTGTTGATCCTTATTAATTTTTCTTTTGATCTCATTGCTTTATTATTATTTTGATCCTTATTTATTTTTTTTGATCCTCCACCCTGTGGTGTGGTGACCGTCTCGGCCATCGAAAACCTTACCGAATCATACCTGCCCACCTCGGTGGCCAATTCCAATGGAGACACCGGGCCGGGCCGTTTTGGACTGAAAGACCAACGCTCGGCGGTTGGGCAGATGTTCGACCGAGAGGACTGGTGGGATGATGTGGGAATTTGATCGGTTGGCTATGGTTGGCTTAGGATTCTGATCTCAGCCGTGATGCAAGCCTATTTCCAGCCGCGGAAGACCCCTGCAATGAATCTGGTGGTGACGGCCGCTGTTCGGTGAATTTACGGCGGGTGAAATGGTTCTGTGACCGACCCATGAACGGTTGCAAGGACTGCAGCCTCCCAAAGCTGAAAAAGAAGGTCCAATTGAATGAAGAAAACATAAGAAAACACATCAGGATTATTTTGTATGGTTGAGTGGTTGAGGGTGATGAAAAGGGTGCATTCTGAGCAGACATTTAGTGATCATGTGTTGGACAGTCGATTTGCAAGATCATTAAATTATCATTCATTAAGTAAGCAACTCTGAAAGAAGTGAAACACGAAGGTCCGAAACCGTCCCCGTAGCTGTCTAGGGTTAAACAATCCCCTCGCCAGATTGATCTTTTAGACAATTCGAGCATATGTAGAGGCTGTAGAGGTCTTTCACCTTAGCCCTAGACGTCCAATCAGTGCTTTCGAGGGCGCTTATTTGAGAAACTGTTTAACGCATTTTCAAGCGATAGTTTTGTTTTTGAACAAGGATAAGATCCTCCTAAGTGAGAAGCCTATGTGGAGGACAGTTTGAGCCCAACATGTTTTCAATATGGGTTGCGCATACACATGTGTACAGCCAGTAGCCAGTATGTACCAGCTTTACACTGAAGTCATAGATCATTCGGTATCCATGGTGCCCTTCTTCCGAAGCAATGTGGACTGTGATTTGAGAGTGGTTCGAGCGTGACTGGCTAGTTGAAAGTACTTCAAGCATGATCCGAAGGTGATAGCATAGCTGGATGTATGTGACCAATTTGCTGCTTGCAGGACTTGAACTTTGCCCGGCATGTTAATTTGAGTTCCTTTGAGAATTGAACTTGAGGCTGCCACAGTGGAAGATGACATGCAAGACTCCCATATATTTACTATTTAGATACGTACATACCTATCTACCTACCTACATAGATAGATAGATAGATAGATAGATAGATACATAGATAGATACATACATACATAGATAGATACATACATACATACGTACGTACATACATACGTACGTACATACATACATACATACATACATACATACATACATACATACATAC